TAGTAATAAAAATATGACTAAAAAAAGGCAGGAATTGTTTTTAATTTTAAATAAAATAAATTTTACATTGTTTATAATTTACATTTATTTTTTAATTTTTTATAACTTATTTGTTATTAGTATTTAGGTATAAATTATTTTTTCTTAATAGCTTAAAAGTTGAAAAATTAAATCAGTTTATATTCACATCATTATTTTATTAGCTTCGATGCAAAAGTTGAGAAGGTATTGGTTTTACTATGATGTGTTTTTTTTTGTGTCTGTTACCACTTTTTCTCAGCTCTCACCGAACCGATTTCTTTCAATGATACGTCAAAAGATCACAAAACGTATCTAGTCGAAGACATTACTCTCAAAAATTGAAAAAATTTCCCTCTTTCCCGTAAATGGAGGAAACCCCCTACAAAATTACAAATTTAAAAATCGCTAATTTTCAAAATTTTTTCAATTTTTTTACTTAAAATTGCCATAACTTTTTTATATACATACATGATATCGTTACTTTTCATTTGATATATTTTTTTTATAAATCTGACCCTTTACCTGCCCACGGGGGGGATATAAAATGACAATTTTTTCACAAAAAATTAACTTTTTCCACTTAAATTTTTAAAACGTTCTGAAAAGTGTGGCACTTTTATCTATATCTCAAATTAAATCTAATATAATGTACTTTTTTAATTAAAAAATTTCGGAAATATTTTGTCTTTGAGTGTCAAGTTAAAAAAGTTAATTTTTTGTGATAAAGTTGTCTTTTTAAATCCCCCTCTGTGGGCAGGTTAAGTGTCAGATTTACAAAAATTATATGTTAAATGATATGTAAAGACATCAAGCATATATAAAAATATAAAATTTAGTGATCCATACATTTTCCGAAAAGTTATAGCATCATTAAGTTAAAAATATAAAAAAAATTATTTTACAAAAATCGTAATTTTAGCTTCGATGCGAAGCTGAGAAGGTATTGGTTTTACTATGATGTGTTTTTTTTTTTTTTTTTTTTTTTTTTTTTTTTTT